CATTCATTTTAAATTGTTCTCAAGTTCTTTGGAAGCAAAATCCATTTTAGAAGAATATGTTTCAAGTCTCAGACAAAGAGATAATGGTCCTATATTTCATTCTATGAGCAATAACAGCTTAAGTTGTGTGATTCAGAAATGTAGAAATGTATGTATTAAGTTGATGAAAATTAGAGCTTGATCTAGCAATAAAACCAGAAACCTAAAGCTTCCTAGATTGATATTCGTAGCATAATATTTTCCTGTCAAGAATTAGGTGGAATGAAAGTCTATAAAGATAATACATGGTACAAAGCTTTCTTCCCTTGTATATAAATGAAAAAGCCAGTGACTGTATATGATAATAGAAACAGAAATGCTAAGATTTACTGAAACCCAGATAAAGACAGCACTGCTATTGTAATGCTATTATTGAGTAATGGTAGAAAGTGGAAATTTAAGTTCAATATTAGAAAAGAATAAAATGAATAATAATGTTGTATCCACACACAAAAAAAGACATGTCTAGCTTTAGGTTGAAACCAGCTTCACCATATAGAAAGGAAAACACCATGAGAATTTTACTTTGTTAATATGAACGAACCGCACGTAAAAACTTAACCATTTCATTACTCAACTAATTTTGCCCAAATCATTGCATTTAGTTTCAAGTTGAAGTGCACTTTTTATAAAAAGTAATACTTTAAAATAGTTTAAACACACTGCTCAAGATAAGTTCACGGTCTGAAAACTGTGTTTGTAAACTGGATTCCTATCATCTCCATGATTTCACCTCAACTGATATTTTAGGTATGTAGTGGCAAGACTGTTAAATTACTGATCTTTCTGTGGGGCGAAAACTCAGGGTTGGTCTTTTATAGCTTCAAGTTTTGTGACATGACCTTATTAGTATCTGAAAGCTGGTTTGCTTGTACAGTAAGATCATCAAACTTCTAAGATGTGATCTCAGTATAGTCTATGTAGTTAGTGCAGAGCTAGCCAACTGGAATTGCTCTCTGTAATATGGTTGTTCTTACTGAGGGCAGCCCAGTGGATGGAAACAGCTATAATTCATGAGGTAGGCTGTACCCAGATTGCTACACATCTTCTAATAAAAGGAATTGACTACAGCACAGGTTTCTCCATCTAAAATATAATCTTTTAGAAACTACCCAGTGTGCATTAAAAAAATGTGAAATCCCCAATACGTTTCAACATAAATGTTCCCTAGAATAGTGTCACACTGTTTAACAGAATTCCAAGTTAACTTCATCCATAGGTAGGTTGGATGCTTAGGTAATGTGACCTGTTCTGTCTCAGAGGACTAGGGCTCATTTAACATTTTTATTTTATTCTGAGAAATTTTCATACATTTTAAACTAGGGTCTTGGAATATTCATTCTGTATTGGGCTATACGAACTACACAGCTAGTCCTGTGTGTGTTCCCAGCACCCACATTAGGAATCTTGTAACCATCTTTAATTCCAGTTTCAGGGGCTGTGTTGCCCTCTTACTACCCTAGGTATATGCACAAACATGGTACACACAGATATAAAGATAATTTCTTAAATCTTCTGTAATATGAAAATGAACATGAAGACAATATAATCATGACCCTTATTTCCAAACTAGTGTTAAATATTTGTTAACTATTTGCAATCTTTTCTAGACAATTTATAGTTACATAAGACAGGATGGAAAAGTAAGAGGCAATTATGTGAGAGGCAAATACACAGTGCAAAGCAGCTATGTGTTCATGTAGAGTCAGAGGCATCACAAGCTGCCTGTGTTCTCCTTATTAAATACACATAGACATACTAGATATTTAAATATTTTGCACATTAATTTGTATCATTTTAGTCAAGTAGAATTGATTTGTTTATTTAAAAAACACATTAGAAAAAGGTTTAAAATGAAATTTATATTTTTAAGCATGATACCTGGTAAATGAATACTGCATCTTAGAATTTTTACCTAGAGCAACAATCAAAAAACATTTTCTTAGCATGCTTGCTATGATTGAGGTGGTGCTATCTATACTGGCTTATGAGGTTTGGTATGGTACAAATGGTGTCTTGTGAAAGTGGAGAAGCAAAAACTTCAAAACAGTCTATGAGTCTGCTAACAGTCAGCCTGTTTCTTTTGTTGTATTTGTTCCACTACACATATCCAGTAACTCAGGGTCTTGAATTATCTTGGACAATTGCCATTCCTACAGTTGAATTGAGTACTAGAAGTAGGACATAATATATAACGTGATATCACCTAGACTGTAAATTGGAATTTACAATATGGATAATATAAGAAACATTAAAATAATAGACATTTTCTGTTAAGGCAACTCTCTAGAGGAACATAGAGAGATGAGTTCTATGGAAATGAGAATTATATATAATAGAATTACAAGTTCCATCACATGAAGTAAATATTTTCTCTTATGATAGAAATGATTCTTTACTTCCTTTTAAGTATAAACAAGCAATTGAACAAATCCATGATATGAAACTTCAAACCAAGGCACAGGCTAATTTCTTTCACATGTAATGATTATGTTATAGTGAAACTCATAATTAAGGAAATGCCTAAATAGTATGCTCATATGTATTTTAGATACTTATTAAATTATAAATTTTTCTCCTAGCATTTCACTGAGCTTCTTTTAGCTTGAAAATATGCATGTTATTTTTCTCATCTTCCATTATTATTTGTCTTCTCAATAGTTATAATAAAATAATGAGACTAGAGAAATGCATGTTTGTGGCTATGTGAGATAACTGATTTTGAGTGTTCATAAATACATACTATGGGATATGAACATACAAATACATATGATACAGTCCTGAATGAAATAGATGTGTATAATTACCAAGTACTTTGTAACCATTTCTTTTAAAGGAACAAGCTTCACTTAAAACAGTAGGTGGAACATATTTTATCCTTTGCATGGTTGAATGAATGTGTAGTTTTAACTACATTTCCTTGTTTAAATGCATGCAAACACAATCCAAAGAAAAGTGAAATATATTAGAGTTACTGTCTTGTTTGTTTTCATGAATAATAATGGAACAAGAGCTATGCTTCAGTAGAATTTGAGTGTGGCATTCTGTATAGCTCTATTGATTATCAGCCTAGTTCATCCTCATGTATAAAAGGAAGTGCTCTTGAATATGACAGAAAGATTGGGTAAGGCATTCAAGACATCAAATTTGTGCCCTTGGATCTGTCAATAGTACAGTTCCTTGTTCCTTTGTCTTTCTAGCTTCGTTTATTTGAGCAAGTGATCTTGCATATTGACTAGTGGAGCTGAAACTGATGGGAAGAAGGTTATTCTTTAGCTGACATTTTGTGCCCTTGTTTATCAATGGTAGAAAAACTAGAAACAAAGCTTTAGCATAAAGAAGTATATCAAAAAGATGGAGCAGGAAAGAAAGCTTAGCTAGAGCAGAGATCTCTACCAGGTCAGGAATTGAACTATCGTGAAGCAGCTTTAAAAACTAGTTTTGGCTATGATTCAAGTAGACCCAATATTTACTCCAAAACAGATTGGCAATGACCAGGTGTCATTGCTATTTGAAAGATATCCCATGACCTAGATGAAAAAAAGTCACAGGCCAGAATTCTTAGTGGACAGATGTCTACATCACCAATGGCTACCTCCCAAAAATGAGATAGCAACTGAATACTTAATATAATGATTTTCATGGTGATATCTGCACAGCCATCCTCTAAATACCAATATCATGCCATGTCTATTGCTGCACAAGAGCATTTTCAAAGAACTTATAAACTACATTTTTTAAAACCTAAGTTTTAACACACAATGTTAGCATATTTATAGACTAATGATGGTTTGTTCTTTTCTGTCCCTCATAGGAAGATAATTATCAAGTATGATGCATAACATAATGGATGGACTCTTATCATTTTATAAAACATTACTAGACTTTATTAAAACAAATGAATGATTTATAAAACTTGAAATCATGTGTAATTCAAGTTAAAGAAAAACAACAGGATTTCAAATTGTACACGTCTCTCCAGTTATTTTAGATTAGATTTATTCAGTGATGTGGAAATATCAGATGGGAGGGACACTTTTGACAATCTTCAAAGCTATAAAAATGAAAACTTTTTTATAATGAGGTTAAATAATTTTCTAACAGTCACACAAATACCATGTAACATCTGAAGTACAATGTCAAGATTAAACCAGATAACATTTCTACCGTGGCTACACTAGGGACCAGCTTGATGTTCTCATTCATATTCCCAGTGCCAAGACAGTTTTAGTCTCAATGAATATTTTCAGCTGAATGAAAGAATCAAATATATCATTGGAAACTAATGATCAATTTGCAACTTGACTTAAAGAACTTTAATTCACATTTCTAATGTCTTTGCAAAAAGATTTAAAGTAAACCTTATGCTTCTAGTGGACGTTGCTTTTGTTTAAGCATTTGTTTTTGACTATGGCTGTCGTGCTTGCTTGTATATCTGTGCATCAAATGTGTAGACTGCCTATCCAGGCCAAAGAGGACATCAGACTCTCTGGAACTGGAGTTATAGATGGCTGTTAAGTCACTGTGTTGGTGCTGAATACTGAACCCACGTCCTCTGGAATAAAATAAAAAGTATCTTTAGCCACTGACACATCTCTCTAGTCCCTTGTTTCAGTTATTCATTGCAACCCTGTACACTAGAAATTACATGGCATATTGTGAAGATCACAGCTTCCATTGGTGACAAGAACCTGAACTTCATTTCCCATTTTGCTAGTCATTCCCTATATTTTCATTAAAACTTATTCTTCCTGGGGTTGAGTTTTATCTTATATAGAAAATAGAATAATAATCCAGATTAGTTGCTGAGCACCCAGTCAATATTTCTAACTACTGTTTTGCACATAACAAGCATTCAAAAACTTATTTTTTCAGTAAAAGTCATTTTCTAAAAATGAATAGCAACTAGAAGACAAGCTGACATATTTTTGACTTCTTTTCACTTTCTGTTCCTTTACCAGATGATGACTTTTTTCATGAACTTCCTGAAACCTTTCCGTCTGACCCACCTGAGCCACTACCACACTTCCTCATTGAGCCCGAGGAAGCTTACATTGTGAAGAACAAGCCTGTGAACCTGTATTGTAAAGCCAGCCCTGCCACCCAGATCTACTTCAAGTGCAACAGTGAGTGGGTTCATCAGAAGGACCACGTAGTAGACGAGAGAGTAGATGAAACCTCTGGTGAGTTTGGGATTGTGCCTCAGGACTCACTCTACTGTGCTTCTGTCATTATACTACTCCAGTTCGCAGGACTGAAAGTGGAGTTATTATCATTTGGCAAAAACCTTTGAATCACTTAGTTTAAGAATTCATGATCTCACTTTATACAGTGCAAGGCAAGCCATGAAGGATAAATGCTTTATTGTTGATAAACTACATGATTGTTCAATAAGATACTCAATATGGAATCGATTGAATGAATTAATGTTAAACATCCTGGCAAATGATATCTTTGAATTTTACTTGTATGGAAGTCAAGGATAAATCCCCTGAAATCTGGGGATCATGTGCAAATGAGAACTCATTGTGCTTTGTGACATCACTGCCCAATATCAATCCACATACATACCTGATATAATTATATAAAATATTTTAAATTATTCTTTGAAAATTAACTATCAGTGAAACAAGTGGAATGCTTTATTTCAAAATTACTAATGAGAGATAGTTATGCAATATCTGATATTTCTCTTAAATGAGAAAGATAGAAACTTTTCTTCTGTGGCTTAAGTGTTTTGATCTCCAATATGTAGAATAGCACTTAAAACATTCAGATCTAAATATGTGACATTATGGTCTTAAGATATAGAGTTGAGTTAAGACATTATTAACCAACATTTTTAAGCTAAAAGGAATTAAAATGATAGAAGAGAGAAACATTTTTAAATATTATTTTTCACAGACATCTCTATATACAGAAAGCAGATTCAGGTTTCAAGTTTGCAAATAATACCCATTTGTGCCTGTTAGCTTAATCTGAAACAAGGACAGACCAATACATGTCAGGTATCTACTGGCATCCCCAACAACAATATCAATGGAAGAGATGGGAACTGAAGGCCTAGACTAGGCTAATAACTGAGAAGAGGCATCTCAAAACGACATGTGGAACACATATGTACATAGTATAAGTAGTGTCAAGAAATCAAGTGGCAGCTCTGCATAATTACTGTTCGTCTATTAGTCAGTACGTTCACTGACGGTAAGCTGTTGACTACAGAAAAAAAAATGATTATCCAATCATGGGCAAGTATCAGGGAAATACCTCAGCTCTTCATCTAATTACTCAGAAAATAACTCTACCACATGTTGATAGAAGTCTCAAGAGAATTGAATTTTATTGATTTCAGCTCATTTATTTCTAAAGATTTCAAATACAAAGACTTTTAACGATGCATGCACGGTATCACAAATATAAAAATGAAAATCACAATGTATTTAGGTATGTCTTAATAATTAATGAAAATGTCCATATGAGAAGAGTGTAAAAAATGATATGTCTTATATTCAACACTTCTGATAACTTCTCAATATGTTAGTAGCGCACGCACACACACACACAGACACACACAAATTCAGTATGAATACATGAGAGTTAAGGGAAAAGCTCCAGCAACTGAGACCAGAGAGAAAATCAAATCTTGTATAATGTTTGTTGGCTTTTATTTCTAAATGAAACTTTGCAAGGAAGTTAGCAATTATCCTTTGTTGCCATACTAGACACATATAAGAAGGTATCTACAGACACTAGTACCGAGAGAATCATTTTAACCTATTAAGTGTTTTAGATGGCATAAATCATTAAGATGTCTAAAAGTTATAAAGAAAGCAGAAAAATTACTATTTATGACATATGGCACAATTTTTTATACATGGAAAATTCATGCAGTTTTAAAGAAAAAATTACAAATATTGAGAGTACACAAAATTAGCTGTTCAAAATAATATAACTCATTATTTTTCTAGGTACAGATAGCCAATTCAAATTAACAAGGTATGTTATTTAGAATATCACTGTGAAAGAAATTATGTAGTTATGAAGATAAGACATTTGAAGGATTATTTTCCCTTTGTGATACTGGAGATAAATCCTAGACCTCATGTATTCTGATCTATGACTAAGTACACACCCAGCTTTAGAAAGAACATTTTCCAATTCTATTTAGTTATAAAAAAGTAATGGTCTGTGAACAGAACACACACACAAATATATACATGCATATATATATATATATATATATATATATATTATTCTTGAATATAATTGAAAAATATTTTTGAGATTCATGCTATCTATAAGTGATTCTGTAAGATTACCAACAGTTTAATTTAACGTAACTTCTAATAACAGCTTAGTGCAACCTGAAATAGTAGCACAAATCACAGAATCTTTATAAGCATAAAAAAAAGACATGAAAAGAGGTTTTATCTTCACAGAAGGCAAAACACAGATCTACAGTTAAAATTTGGTTAGCTGAAACATCAAAATACTTAAAAACTTCCAGAATGTGATAATGACTGCTTAACCAGTTAAAAGGGAGTTGATTACTACATGCATTGAGATAGCAAGATAAGAAGTCGGAAAGAAAAGAAATAGATACACAAAACATGTATCCTATTTCATTATTTAAAGTAAGTTCTAGATGTTATAAAGTGATGTCACCATGACCCCTACCATCATCATCCTCATCACCATCACCATCATCATCACCACCAACATCCTCACCATCAGTATTATCATTTTGGCCATTAGTTGGTTGGTTACTGAGTTTCAGTAATGGGACAGCCAGGCCTCTCAAATTAAAACACAAAATAAAGAAGCTGTATAGGAAACCATTGTGTAATTGAATTTTAACATACCACAAACAGAGCCAAGGAGGATATTTTTAAAAACTTATATCAACGTTGATGAGCATGAGTCAAAGAGATAACTTAGTTACTATGCAAATATTTTTAAATTACATTTCAAAAAAAAAAAGCACCAGCACCCAAAAGAAAACCAACCAACATTAGAACATGTAATTCCAGGCAAAGGAATGCTAATTGCAAATAAGCATCTAAGGAGATGTTATCTATTTCAAAACGTGAATTAAAGATCTTTTTTCTTGAGGCACAAGTGGCAATATCAGTATGTTTTTAGTACGAATATTGAAATATATATATTCCCTCTGTCAGGCAAATTATTCCTGGGACATCCTACAAATAAAATTCTAGATACACGCAATATACACAAAGTTGTTTACTGTGCCCTATTGATTATATTCATTCTTACAATTGATTGCTATAGTGTTATTGTTGTCGCTTTAAGTGAATTTCTTCCACTGGTGAAGCTGTGTAAATTCTGTCAGATAAAACTGAACACAAAATCCAAAATACAGAACCCAGCATTCCCACTGTTTCTGCTTCTGTGCAAAGAAGGGAGATACAGGTTTTTTTGTATAGCAATTGAAAACTTCTGTGTAAACACACACCAAGATGTTGGCAGCTAAGAATCTAGGGTGAGGAGTTGAGACTTTTATTGTTTGATGATTTTCAGTCTTTTAAATATATTATTTTCATCATAAATAATGAAACCCATTGAACAGCCTACACTACTTTATTGCAGCTCTGCCAGCTATCATAAATCCCCAATCTAGACAAACTGTGTAGAATTTTCTTGGTCTCTTATATTAGAGTTCTTTGCCATCTTCTGAGACCAAACACTGCAAAAATGGAATGGGAATAGAATTCTTTCTGGGTTTTCTTTGTTATTTGTTTTTATAAAACTAGATTCACCTGCAACTTGGGTCCTCAGCTCTATACTTGAACATTCTGATTTTATTATTTTAAGGGGACCATGGTGGGTGTTTTTTTTAAAGCAAGAAATATTAGAATATATTAAATCTTGAAACATAATGCAAAACAGAAATGACAGAACAGACGAAAGTCATTGCAAACATTCATTTTATAGTTATATCTTCCTTAGAACAACACATGCAAGCATAGTTAGCAGCAATCATATTTCCTAGCAACTAAGAATCGTTAATTGCATTTAACAAAGTCTCTAGCAAAAATACTTTCACATTGAAAAATTAATAAACACTTGGAAGAACAGAGCTCTTAAGAATTTTTTCAGTTACTCCTAACCCAGTGGCTTACATCTGCAATCCCAGCTCTCAGAAGACTGAGCCAAGAGGATTGGGATCAGATCAAGGCAAGCCTAGGATACCTAGTGAGTTCAAGGACACTCTAGGCAGTGTCTTCATGCCCTGTTTCAAACCAAATTGAACAGGGAAAACAAAATCGTGTCCCTCTTAAATTCTGAAAGCATTCTATAGTCCATCTTCCTCTGAGGTATGAAACAAAGAATTATTTCCACTCATTTAACAAAATTATATTATTGGTCAAAATGAAGTCTAGTAATTAAAGCCCTCACTACACTTATTGTTTGCCTTTTCATCATTTAAACCTATTTGCATTTCTTTCATATGTCTAAGAAGTAGGAGGATATAAAAACTATGGTACATGTTTACAGTATTCAGAAATTCTTCATCTGGGGACACAGTCATGTATTCCTAGAAGACCTTCAAAATCACATCCAAATGTTTATTTGTCTTTATATGTATGGGTGTTTTACCTGCATATATGTATGAGCCTCACTTGTGCTTTGTACCTGTGTGGTTTAAAGAAAGAATATGATCCTCTAGAACTTGAGTTACAAATGGGTGTGAGCTACCATATGGGTGCCAAGAACCAAACACGGGTCTTCTGCAAGAGAATGACCAGTGAGCCATCTCTCTAACCTGCAGATCACATAGAAATGCGGGCCTGATCAGAAATGTATGGTTATATTTTAAAGGAAAACTCAGGCTCAGCAGCTTGCTTTCTATTTACTTGAAGTCTTTTCAACTCCTGTTTCCATGGCACCATAAAATCCACCATGTGAAAGCAAATCATTTTCTTCTTCCAAGAAGAAGCAGAAGCGGGGGGGGGGGAGTGGTTAAGAAAGCCACAGTCATTTTGAAATTTTAATAATCTCTTAGATTTTTTTTCTCCTTTGGTCTGTAATTATTCTCAAATTAACTAAAGGGTCTGTAAGACCAACATATCACAATAAAAGGTGCTCTGAGCCTGACAGTGAGCATTTTGTATGTCTTATACTCTTTAAGTATCCCATAAATCTTACAGATGTATTCTGGGTG